AATCAGAGTTGTTATATGTGGGACTTTTGTGTGTTACTCCCAGCATTCGAGGTCCTCACAATGCAACATACCTGTACATGTACCGGCACTAGTACATGTATGTACGTTTTGGTCCCACAATTCAAAGAAAGCATCTTTACCACGGATTATGAACAGTACTGTTCTGTACAAGGTAAAACTGTATTACGTGTGTGAATCGGCAGAGACAAACAAGTGACAAGTCTGAATAGATTTATAAGCCAAAAATTTTCATTGATTCAGAACTATTTTTTATGCACTAGGGGAGCAGATTTTCCACACTGCAGTACTGAATATTCATGTTATCACCCACTTTTTTGCATACATTTACATGTAGATCTTGCTACACGTACTGGTCCATGCACTTGTGATACATGTTCATGTATGCAGTTTAAGCGCCAAAACTAATCACAGCATGTTGTATCCTGTTGACCTTCCAGGAGCAGATAGTATCAAAGGCTGGTTGACAAAGTCATGCCGTTTACAGATTGCTCTGTAGGTTGCAAAGTCAGGATGTTATACTTGAACCTTGGCATTCATGTACATGTACCAGAACATGTGCTTCAGTACAGCTTGACGTGTCTTTGGTAGATGGGAGAACAACTTGTATTGAGTGCCAGGATTGAGAAATCAGAAAAAAAAAAGAAGTTGCAAGTTGTCAAGGGAACATGTGAATAGGTTTCAATGGAAGTGGCCGTGTTCGCCAGTGGGAACTTATTGCACATTGTCTGGTTGTAACAATAACAATACCATATTTGTACTGGCAGACAGAGAAAGTGAAACTTATATTAAGTGGGCGCAAAAATGAGTACATGTAGGCGTTTCTCTCTATGTGCAGTAAGTTGCAAATGAAAGTTAACCTCAAAAGGGGGACCAATTTTCACACTTTTCCCATCCAGGAAAATGAATATTCATTTCACAATTGTGACAAATTTTCCCTCCAGTGGCAAAAATGTTTACAATTTCTTCCCCTCTGTGAAGAGGAAATTCACAACTTATATCACAAGGGAGAACATTTTACATCTTTTTACACCAGTGGGAAAATGTTCACTCCTTTTGGAGAAAATTTTTCACTGCTTTTTTTTTTTCACAAGTGGGAAAATTTCCCCAAGTTGGAAAATCTTCACAGCTTTCTTCACAAGTAGGAAATTTGCATGTGAATGGGGATTCTTTTCATAATTTTGCATGTGAAGCAAGATATGGGACAGAGAACCTCCTTATGCCGCGTGTTGGTCATTGTTTCACTGGACTCTGAGGAATTGTTTTCAGACATCTGGGGGATGTGTTAGATAACAACAGTCTAGAAAGTGTATAGTGATTGGACATGTTGGGGGGATACCCCTCGGTCTCATTTCTTGCTGGATATACAATTTTGCTAGGTTATTTTCATGGGGTTGCGTTTCAATTGCAATGTCCTGCACATGTAGGATGTAATCATGTACATGTATGCGAAAGCCCTTTTCACATGATGACAAAAAGACTTGACGTCAAAAAAACAAAAATATTTTCTCATGCTTGAGAAATCTTACAAAAGGGCCATCGTGTGAAAGGTCGCCATTGCTTGAGAGTGACAAGCATTCCTGGTGAATCTTTGAGATATTTTGGAGGAGGTCTGGACCTACAACAACATCTTCCGCTTGTGGAGGAATTCTCAAGCAACCCATGAGAAACGGTCGTGTGAAAGGACGCACTGTTTACTGTACAACGTCCCCTGCGATAACCTACACAGTGCGCATGCGTAGTGACCTGCAACCCCACACAGCATGCGCACGCCCTTTAACTCTGATACCCTTCTCAGTAGCATCGTTTCAGGTATGTCCAGCGATCGTGGCACTGCTCGCCAGTGCAATCGGGAATACCTTCTGCGACTTCCCACCACGCGTGGCTATTGTGGACCACGTCATCCATTTTCGCCTTAATCACAACGTTTCCATGACAGTTAAAAGGCTGAGAGTCTCATCATACTTCCAACCCTTCTTGGAACTTTTCTGCTTCTTGGTACTCCCCGAAACATCGGTTTCGGGAGAACTTTTTTTCATCTGCAAATTTGACTCTGCCGATGTACCGTCAGCCATTTTTCATCGATGCTCTCCAATCTTTGGAGAGGCGCATTACGCTGGTACTAGCAGTATTTGCGCTCAGTAAGTGTGGAGTTCACTGGCAACCCGCGGAATAAGCACTCATGTCTCAAGGAATGCTTGCGAAATGTTACACGGTGCCGTGTGAAAGGACATGATCACGGTTTTAAAAGTAAACAATTCCCGCTCCGAAATTGTGTCTCAAGCCTTGCGAGTTTTTTTGTCGTCGTGTGAAAAGGGCTTAACTCACATGAATGGGTGGTCATTGAAGCATCTTGTACGTACCCATGTGATATATATATATGTGTATTTCGTTCTGAAACTGCCACCTATGTGTGAGTAGGAGCTGCTTTGGTGATGTTGACAGTTACTGGTATTTAACTGTCACTTCAAAAGTGGTGCTACATGCAGATAATTTGACACAGTCATTCAGTGTACAAGCCCAAGTTCGGTGATACGTATACGCTGTACATAATTATACATGACTGCTTATGTAGTTGCTTGTTTACCTCTTAACTGGAATGACAGTCAAGTTGAGCGTAAACATCTTAGTGTGGATGCTCATGTTTTCATTGTTATATCCCGTGTTTCTTGCTTCAGAGAGTTGAACAGTGGACAAGCAGTACTTCAAGAAGGCGTGTTCCCTCATCCAAGATATAGACAGACAGATCCGTCCTGATTAATCCTGTGAGCCACAGATTTGGACGAGATGGGGCGCAAGAAAATACAGATATCCAGGATAAACGACGAGAGAAATAGACAGGTGAGGTGCTGTAACAGTAGAGCCAATACAGGCGTGGGTTTGCTTTGCTGCGTGAATGGTCAGAGATGCTCAGATGCATTCCCTTTGAAAAAAAGATGTAAGGAGGTTCTCTTGATGCTCACAACAGGGTAGTTGCCCTTCACAGGTGCAAAATCAAAAACAGAGGAAGAGAAAAGACCGAAGGAGGTGAAACTCAACTTGGAGACACCCACTGTCTGATGGTGACAAGCTTAGGGTATGAAACATTTGAAAACCATACCAATGAAAAGAATTACTAAATTTCTAGTTGAAGGCATGTGTACATAAGCAGTGTGAATTTGATGTGAGCAGAACGTACCAGTAGGACTCATAAAACAGGGTACGAGAGTAGTTTGATCAGAAATTGGCAACTTTCTCCCTCCCTTCCCCCACCCCCTCCAAAAAAAATGCAGGGGTGTGTAAACAGTGTTTTGTAATTCATTTGCATTGCACTGTTAATTTTGCCTTTCTTCATGCGATGCTGAAGTGTCAGGACATTTCCCCTGTTGTGGCCTGGCAATCTGGCGCCAAACCATTGCATCAGAAGCAGATGTTGTAGGACGATAATCCAGCTCTTGAATAGACCTTTGCGCTGGCAAACAGCCAAACATACGTATTGGACACAGTTTACGCCAGGAAAAAGATGATGCATAATTATGCACATGTCCAGCATGTGCACGTTGATATTGGGTGCAAGACAATGACATTTGAGTTTGCCCATGAATAAGCCGTGGACTGTTTCATGCGTCTGTATGTAGAATGGAACGAAATCAAGAACAAAGACAAAAGATCAGATGGACCAATCTCTGAATTGATTTGTGTCTCAGTCGCCATGCAAAACCCTTGCAGATTGTCTTTGGATTCTTCAAACACCTCAAAGAAAGTCCAGGATGGAAGAGTTGCTCTCTAAACTTCCGCGCATTCTCTCTGAGCATGTTTATTTCTTCCTAAATTTGTAACCTACTTTTGGAACACCCTCTTGAAAAGGACCCAAGTTTGACTTTCTGCCATTTTCATTCATGTTCCTCATTACTTGCTCAGTTCATTATTATATTGCACAGAAATCTTGTGCCAAGAAGCAAAGCAAGCAAAAGGGTTGAGTTTGAGAAGCATGTGGTCTCACATTACATTCGATGAAAATGAGCAGCTACCGTTCTGACAAATTTAATGATACCCTCTGTTTGTTGCAGTTGTGAATAGGTTCAAACTCTTTGACAGACACAACTCCGACATTGATATGCAAAAGGACATGAACCGTGCACAGTGCAAAACATCTCCCAGTTTATTCCCTTCACCTGCAGGAGGCTCAGTATTTCCCTGGGGAGTAAATAATGTAACAGACCTGCCAAATGGAGCGGAGCACATTGATTTTTTCCTCTTTTTTTTTTTCCTGGTGGGAGGGGTCCTAAATGTAGTTTCTTAAGAGGAGCCAGGCTCGGGGAACCACTATACGACATCGATAACCTCCATTCCGTGCAGAGATCCTTCTGGCAGTAAACACAAGAGTTTTACAAGGTGGCGTAGTATTTAGTTTGTATGCACATGTCCTGCAGAAATAGATCGTCAAGGGGGTGACCCTTCTGGGGTGGGATGTAATCAACCCACTCAGGGGCAGAGTATTGATGACCTACCTGTACGAGTACTTGTACATGTACATGCACGTGTACATGTACATCGTACCATACATGAACGTCAGACCCACATTTACCAGTAGTCCTTTGGTTGTTTGCATTCATAGGCCTTTTTGATTTCATGTTTTAAAAAAGTAGGATACATTGTGACTACCGTAAATAATACTCTGTAGATGGCTAAATTTATGGTTTAGTGAATCGCTGAATTAATAATGGCAGAGTTTTCAAAGGAGGAAGAAAAAAAAAAACACATGCAGGTAAAGGTAAATTATTAAATTAAGCTTGGCAATTTCCTGCAGCTGTAAATGTAGTACATGTAACTCCCCTGTAGATGCTTGCATCCTCCCAAATCCATTATGCTTTTTAAACCATTGCAAAGTTGTTTTAATTAAACAAAATATCGTAAGGGCTGATGATAATACTAATAGATGTAGATACAGTAAAATCTCGATAAGTCGAAGCCCGTTAAGTCGAAACTCTGTTTATTTCGATATCTTTCTGTTTTCCTGACAAAAGAATAGGCCTTTATGTACAATAAACTATCCGTAACTCGAAACGTCAATACCACTAAAGCCGCTTATCTCGAAGTTTTGGCAGGCCAGTTAAAAAAAAAACACTGAAGAACGATGAATAAAAAGTGATGAAAGAACGCTTGCCTTCATTATGAGTCATTACTGTCACACGCACAACTTTTCTTTGATGAGCCGAGCATGTTCACACGGGCTGCCATTGTCACGTCGACAAGCACTGGGTGAGCATCAACCGCAACTGCAAATAAGGCCCTGTCCTAAACAGGCTTCTGGAGCTATGGCTAGGTCTATTGTCTGGGCATCCCCATGCATTTCCAAAGGAGTGAATACCAAGACCTAGCTCTAGAAAAGAGATTCAGATGCAGCCTAAATCAGGCACGAATGATGCACCCTCAAGCGCTTTGAACATGTATCACGTGACCCAGCACGAAAACCCTGACCGACTTGCTCGCGCGCTGCGTTATGCGGTAACAGCCCGATCAAAGCAAATGAATGAATTCTCAAGACGTAGACACAGGTACCAGTACATAACTTCATTGGTTTATTGTTTATTAATATACCACAAAAAACATGTTTAATGATGACGTTTGAGGAAAACTTGCACAGTAGGGATAACCTAAAATCCACTTCATGTTCGACTCAGCTTGCAGGCCAACTGCCGTAAGCCAGTAAGGTTGCATGTGCACTGAAGTGAGTAACTTTCGATAATTCGAATGTCTGATAACTTGAACTTTTCGTCCATTCCCTTGAGCCTCGACTTATCGAGATTTTACTGTATAGTAATGTTTAATCATAAATAGACATTCTTATGAATATACATGTAGTATCAAAATTACAGAAATATGAGAATTCCAGATAAAAAGGAAATGCTTTCTCAAGATCTGGAACCTGTTTATAACAAATATTATTTATCAAGCAAACAAGCTATAAAGAAAATCAGAAACATTATTCATATTCACATCAATAACCATGTTTCGTATTAAATAACTATAGCAAACAACTACAACGGATAAAGTAACCTACTCATATTAAGAAAGAGAAAAGAAGAAAAGCAAAGGAAACGGAATAAGGACAGAACAAATAAAAGAAAAAAAGATGAAAGCAGTGGCTAGAGATTATACATGTACATTGTAAACAATGACACAATTCAATAGTATGTGGAATGACGTAAAATTGACAATAGGTTAATTCATTATCAGGATAATGTAACGACGACAATATTTTAAGGTAGTTTTGATATGTTGGAGTGGCCTAAAAGCAGGCATTGGTTTGAGGTGGTTCCATAACAGAGGCCCTTGATTTCTGACGGTGGATAAATAAAGAGATGTTTGTGCTTTATGAAAGTGAAGATTTGTGGCTGACCTTGTATTATGAGAATGAATATTTGAGTTCTAAATAACAAGTATATAGTTCTAGGAAGATTGTTCGTTTCAAATTGATACACCAGTTTCTTTCCTTTAAAATTTATACATCAGTTCACCGAGGTGACTTTGTTGTTGTTTGTTTTTGTTTCTTTTGTGTAAGTTGAAAATGTTTGCTAAATATCCTCATGGAGACACATTCTGTAGGCAGGCTGCCACATGTTTGAATGGGCCTGTGCCGGAGACTGATGCATAGGTTTCAAATTGTTTTACCATTATACCGAACATTCTGTGTGGACCCATCATGTTCATTATAGTGGCAATGTACAATATTTGGTCCTTGTCATGAAATCCTTGATGTACAAGTCAACACACTAACATTTCTACATGAATTTTCCTTGTTAAGATACTTACTCTAACCCACACAGATCCTTCAAAATCCACAAAGAAGTATAGAGTTTTTGAGATTTAGGAAGGTTTTGAGATTTAGGAAGGAACATGTACATGTTTTTGTGGATTATGTTTCAGAGTTCAGTGTGCTGTTGGTTTTTTTCCAGAATGGAGGATTGTAGAGAGTTTAGTACTGTCTCTAAACCGAATGCCGAGGGAAAATCTTACACGTGGGGTAAAGATATTGGTCGTGCCCTTACTAAGTACATGTAGCTCAAAGTGAGGATTTGTCTAATGAAGGGTGCAGTTGAAAAATAGTAGTGTGCCATCGGCCGATATCAGATTAAATGATCTTCTTGGAAAGTGTTCAACAGAATAAGGAGCTTCAGTATCGGTACATCTCTCTGGAGAACTCAAAAACAGTTGAGTCAGAGAAATAAGGAGTTTTTCATGAAATGGAGACACATCCAAGATTTTATCAAGTTTGCACACTTTCTCCATCACACCAGAATCCATTGGGGGGGAAACGACAGACAAATGTTAAACGTTGTTTTGTTTCATGCCTGTAAAGAATAAATAGCTTGTCACAGTTACATGCAGATGGTCAGGTTTATCTCGGTTTACATCTCTTTGTTCAAATCAATTTACCAGTCAGCAGAAAACATTTAAATCCTGTAAAATGTAACATTCTTCAGCGAAAACCTGCGATGCATTCTTTGTATTGAACAAGTTTCCAGTGAAGGTTGTTGAGGCCTAGCTGGGCTCCAGAGTTCCTCAAAATTCTTTAAAAATCAGGTATCAAGTTTTCAGTTCACCCCATCTCCCTGGGCAATTTTGTTGAAAGTTGTCCAAATCCTTTAAAATCCAGAATGCTTCAGAATGTCAGTGGAACATGTAAATTGTTGAAACTTTCACAGGAACAGAACCTGAAAGTTGAAACTACATGGACATGCTGAGTAGATCGGCTGTAAAATCCTAAGTACATGTATATCAATTTACCGGCACTTCAAACTTGGATGTCTTATTTTTGTAGAGTTGGTTTATATGAAATCAGGGTTTGTATATTGAGGAATGTGGTATTCTTAATTTTCCTTGTTCTTCTGAAATTGTGGTCATACTGGAAACTGTGATTTCAAACTCGGCCTCTTTTGCATTCTCTAACCACAGGTCACCTTCACAAAGAGGAAATTTGGCCTCATGAAGAAAGCGTACGAGCTGAGCGTGCTCTGCGACTGCGAGATCGCACTGATCATCTTCAACAGCAGCAACAAACTGTTCCAGTACGCCAGCACCGACATGGACAAAGTCCTGCTGAAATACACCGAGTACAATGAGCCGCATGAAAGCAAGACCAATCAAGAGATCATTGAGGTGAGAATGTGAGCCAGTTGCAGAGCTGTTTGACTAGTTCCTGCTTTCTTGTTCTTTTCCCTCATAACGAATGCTGTACCTTATTCAGGGTGGGATGGCATCTTGGAATTTCATCTGAGGTCACAGAGGTACCGATACATCAGTAATAACAGCTTCAAATGAAGGCTGTCATTTATTTCTGAAGCCATTTAGATCTCTGATATGCATTTCAGTGGCTGGAGGGATTACAAAACACCTGCAGTTTTCATGGCATTGACTGTGCTCGTATTATAATTTTCTACGTCAAACATCCTTGCAGTGTGCAAAGTCCCCATCAAAAGGTAGATGTTGCAGAAGTGGACCAAGCACAATGGCCCGATGATGTTGATAGCGCCGGGTTGCCTTGTAACCCTGCCTTTCCCCGAGTCTCTCTGCCCTCTGAATCTATCCCCCGTCTGAAGTGAATCCTCCTCCTCCCCCCCCTCTTGCGCACAACAGCCGCACAGTGTCCATCAGGAAAGGTGTATTCAAAAGCCACACGGAGAGCTGAATGCTGCCGGCCTCCCCCTCTGCTGACAGTCATTGACCACTGTTTATCTAAAGCCTGTGTGCATCGCTACTGACGTCATACCAGTCAAGCCTTGCAGTCCCAGCAGCCAGTTTTGTTTTGGGTATGCCCCTCCCCCTCCTTTTTTTCCCCTGTTATCTCAGAATCTCCAAATTTGGTTTAAGGTTCACTTTTGATTTGCCTGTGTTTGAATCTTGTTTGACAAGACGAGTGAAGGTGTGAATTATTGAGTATTAACCGAGGAGCTGGGATCACTTTCATTTTTGGACTCTGCAATGACGTATTCATATGCTTAAATGTTTAATGAAACAAAAATGAATTTACGAAAAACTGGCCTTCCTTCATGGAGAATTGATGGGGATTTCAGGAATGCACCGGTACATTTAGGCATTGTAATTCAACTTCTCATTTACAGAACTGTTTATCCTCAAAATCGCTTCAGTGAAAGCATTTTGTAGTGCACTTAAATGTATATGTACATGTTATTTCAATGCATTATTTGCACATTCATGTAAAGTTACGGTACATGCACATGTACGTATTGTAAGATTGGGATAGTAAGGTCAAGAAAAAGACTTAAACATATAAATTTGAATTTTCCCATTGGTGCATTTCTCATAAAATCCAGGATCAACTTGCGTGAAACTTAACGTGTTTTGGTTTGGACTTTTCGCCTCTGTAGTTACCCTCATGTTTTCCATTATAGCGTTAATAACAGCGTGTGATGTGGGTATCACAGGCTAGCCTTTGCGCCTTGTCTGGCTCGTAGAGTACACATGTTGCCGACGTGCCTCAATAAGGCTCTTCCTGTTTGCGAGCATAATCCCAGAGCGGAAGTTGCCGGTCAGTAATGATTGGGTATGATCAGCGTCCGTTTGTCTCAGTTCGTAGCCGGTTGCGTTCCAGTGCACCGCCACCCCTTTGAGCAAACCCTAAGGCACCCCCCCCCCACTTCTGCTGCTATCGGCTGCAATCAGTCACGGGAAAAGGGCGTCAGAGCTTGGCTCACGTTCAGCAGAAGAGAAAAAAAAAACACCCAGTGACTGTTCCTGCCTGGTACGCTGTCGTCATACCACCTCCCTCCCACAGGATTGTATGGCGTCCGTAAACCGAGCAGGCAAGTTTATTGTCGGCAGAAACATAGAGCCCTGTAGGGAAAAGAATGGGTCAATACTTCAAGCACTACTGTACAAAAGTTACTTTTCTTTTTGTTTCTGCGGTGTGTTTTTTTAGGGTTGGTTTGTCGGGGCCCCATGTTTTCAAGATTTGTTAGTCATAGGAAGAGGGGTACGAGGCATGTGAACTGTCCCTACGTCACTGGCTTCTTATTGAATTATCGTGATTGCCACGTGAACTATTGAAGAGCCTGCCGGAAGGCGTGACAAAGCGTATTTTGCCACTTCAGGTTGATTACGTTCTGTAATTCACATCCCGGGCACAGCCTGTTCAAGAAATGGGTTGCCTACAGGTAGCCATTCTGTCTGGATCCTGTGGTCAGACTAGGGCTGGAACGGTGATTTTGTTCCATCATCTTTAGTAGTTTACGGCATGGTGCAGCTTTTAAGTGTTGAGATGTACATGTACATGTTGTTCCTTGTTTTGGGTTGTGTTGGTCAGTCTGTGTGGATCATGACTCGTCTTTTTTGTCAAGCCATGTGAAATGGTCAGGCAAAACAGATTTGTAGGGATAAACTGAGGACTAAGTGGATGCGGAAAAAGTTTGAAAACTTTAAGATTAAATATCTTGCTATATTTCTTTCCAAAAAGTTGTTTCTGAAAGAAGTAAGTTTTTTGACTTCCAAGAAAATGGTTGTTTCATTCTTTCAACTGTTTACTGTTTAGTTTTGAAGATTCGTACACATAGCGCTCTGGTGTGTTCCATTCAATAATAACAGAAAAAGAAAAAAGAAAGAAAGCAAGAAATGCTTTCACTTGGAAAAGTTGGCTTACATTCCTTCTATGGTGTCTGAACTTACCGAAGTAAACTTTTAAGTCTGTCACTCTAGTTTGACATTCGTAACTGTACGTGACGGTAGTTGTCCCATACCAGTTTCCGTAAGAAAGTCATTTGATGAAACAGATTGCCAAGTATTTCATTTTTTCTTCAGACAAATTCTTGTGAATCAAACAAGTTAGGGAGAATTTTTGTTCCTTTTTTGCTGTTTTAGACTTGTGTCTGAGACATGATGAAGTTATCAGAATGACGTTAATTGAGTGAAACTCGTTTACTGGTGGCCCGGGGAGGGAAATGAAGGTCGTCTTTCCGCCATCCCCCTTGCCTTGTCTTGTCTTTGCCGTGTGTTTGTTTTGTTGACCGTCCACATTACATCCGTGATTTCCTCCCGCTCGATTGGGAGAGTGACTCGGTGTCATTTAATTTGTGCCAAAGAGTCGGACAAATTACTCCTTATTAAATCATTTGCCCAGCGCGAGGAAAGCGAGAACTGCACGTAACAAACCACAGCCAACGTCCCAACACTGCAAATTGAATGAACACCCTCTCCTGCCTCCTTGCACTGCTTGGTTGCTCACTTCAGAGTTTTCTCTCCCTCTCTCTCTCTCTTGGGAGATTGCGACACAGTTGCCCAGACCTCTCGCTGTGCACTGTAGTCGGCATTGTGAAGGTTGTGGCTGTTGTTCGCTCAAGCTTCATGGAGCAATTTCCCGGCAATTGTGCACCGGTTTTTCAGTTGTTTGCACCTACTTGCATTTGGGCTTATGAACCTGGGCACTTCCTAATCAACCGGCTGTGATTCAATTTAAAACACAAAGCAGGGGCATTTATGGACCACCCCCCCCCAATAATATTGATTAGTGCCACAAATTTTTCACAATTGGGCTTGTAAAAGAGACAATGTCTGTCAAGCGAACAAAAAAGGCAGGTTTCTGAGGGAAGTATTAAATTTACGACCTACGCCCTTTGATGCTTTGATAGAATGTAGTGTGAGAGATGCATTCAACATTATCAAGCAATTCGCGGCAGCCTTCTGACAAGTATCATGAAATCAAGTTAAAATCCACATGCAGGCCTTCTAATTTCCTCTCCAGTTTTTGCCCAGTTTAGAAAAAAAAACCCGGACTACTCTGCAAAATATAACGGTTTCCATTGTGTCTGTGAAGTGACAGTAGAGCTTTGCACAGAAGACTAGAACTTTGGTTTTAATGCCTGATGGATGTTAAGATGCATGGACGGAGCTGTGGTGGACATGCAGCATGGTTTGTGCTGGAAAATGGATTTCATCTTTAAGGACTTGATACGGACTATGATAACAATGTGAAATAAGATCTCGTAAAGGAACACAATTTGCCTGACACTGACCTCTGCTTTAATTTGTGTGGGACAGCCATTGAGTTTGTTAATTTTCATAGAAACCAATTTTCACTCTGCACTTTAATCCGCTCCATGCGGAAACAAAAGAGGGCATTTTTAAAAATGGAATTGACAGTCGCTTTGGTACGACCTCACCGCATAGGTGCGCAAGTTTGTGCGTGTTTGATGGGGACACGCTTAGTTCACACAATGAGTTTATTCTGGATTTTCCGGTATGATTTTTGCATGCACGCCAAGCGCGTGTAGGAACTCCGGTTGGAAAACTTAGTACATACAGGTTCCAGGTTGTCTTTCTTTTGCCAGTGAGGGTGCACTTCAGCTTAGGGTGGATACCCAGAGAGGTGAGTTGTATGATGCCAAGTCCAAAACTCCTCCCTGCAACCTCACCGTCCACCAATTTTGCTGGAGATATTTTTGATGATGAGTTTGCATACTCTTGGTCTTAGGTTGCGTTCAATGCCAAACACTTCAAGTTGGTGATTTCCTTAAAAACAATCTCAAGAAGAGAACATGGTTTTGATCCCATAAGACAAAATTGTCACAAGAACATTTTGCTGAATAATACTCAACAGCAAAAGAGAAGCAAGATGGTAAAATCAGGCATCAAGTGTGGCGAAAGTGACTCGTAACATTTTGGCTGATTAAAATCTCAGATAATGCTTTTTCCTATCCTAATGAAACTGGTAATTACAGTACAGGTTTCGGCCCCATGTGGACATCATTGTTGTAATGCATTTTTATCTGGTAGGATATATTTAGAAAATGTTAAAAGTGGTTGATTCAAATAGAGTTCGGTTCATTTGTGTGGATAGAAGCCCTAGTAATCTGTCATGTTGCCCTTCATTATAATCAGTTTGCCATTTCCTGCCTGGAGATGTACCGGGTACCGGTCTCATCAGGGAAGAGAGGAAAAAAGCTCTTATCTTGTGGACAATGTAATTAGTGACCTTTGCTAGATGGAGTTGAATTTCAAAAGTCATCCTGTTTCAAGAGCAGAAAATAAGATTTTAAAAGCAACATTTCATGTAGCCCGTATTGTAAAAAAAAAGTTGAGTTTTTTTTAAATTTTGTAGTACATGTAAATGGAGTATCTCACTGGTAAGTACATGTACCATTCCAATT